TAATTACACTAGTTTTTTCTTGTGTTGTTTCTGCTTGTTCTTGCATGACTCTTTTTTTTCCTTTCTTAGTGCATACTGTTATTTCTTGCTCGTTCTTTGCTAACTTAGTTACATTTTCCATTCCAGCTACCTTTTCTAACTTAGCCTCTCTTGCTACCACTGCTTCTTTTGCTAATGTAGCAGCCTTTGCTTTCATAACCTTCTTTTCTACCATTGCTTTTCTTGATATTACTGCCTCCTTTGCTAATATAGCTGCCTTTGCCTTCATAACCTTCTTTTCTACCATTGCTTTTCTTGATATTACTGCCTCCTTTGCTAGTATAGCTGCCTTTGCTTTCATAACCTTCTTTTCTACCATTGCCTTTCTTGCTACTACTGCTTCTTTTGCTAATACAGATGCCTTTTCTTTCATAACCTTCTTTGCTACCATTGCTTTTCTTGCTACCACTGCTTCTTTTGCTAATATAGCTGCCTTTTCTTTCATAACCTTCTTTTCTGCCATTGCCTTTCTTGCTACCACTGCTTCTTTTGCTAGTACAGATGCCTTTGCCTTCATAGCCTTTTTTTCTACCATTCCTTTTCTTGATATTACTGCCTCCTTTGCTAGTATAGCTGCCTTTGCCTTCATAACCTTCTTTTCTACCATTGCCTTTCTTGATATTATTGCCTCCTTTGCTAGTATAGCTGCCTTTGCTTTCATAAATATCCTTGTTTTCCTAGCCTCTCTTTCTATCACTGCTTCTTGTGCTAGTATAGCTGCCATTTCAATAATATATTCTGTTGGTACAGACACATGGGTGTTATAATTCTCTTTATTATTTATAGTGTTTGAATTATTAAACACATTGCTGTTGTTATAGCCATAGTTGTATTCGTGATGATGTGATGCGTCGCTCATGTTGTTTGTGTAATCATAGCTTTGACTAAAACCAAATGGCTCTGATAAAATGTTCACGTTGTGCGAGGGATCATTCTGTATGTCCATGTTGTTGAACAAGTTATCTCTGCTGGGTTGGTTATGATCAAATGCTGATTGATGTGCTGCGTCACTCATGTTGTTTGTGTAATCATAGCTTTGACTAAAACCAAATGGCTCTGATAAAATGTTCACGTTGCTCGAGGGATCATTCTGTAGGTCCATGTTGTTGAACAAGTTATCTCTGCTAAGTTTGTCTTTGCCAAATGTGAATTCATGTGTTGTGTTATCCATGTTAGTGTTATTGTAGTTTTCACTAAGACCAAATGGATTTGGAAAATTGTTCATATTGCTTATAGGATCTCTTTGTATTCCCATGCTATTGAACAAATTACCGCTGTTATGTTTATCTTCGTCAAAGATGAATTCATTTGTTATGTTATCCATGTTAGTGTTATTGTAGTTTTCACTAAGACCAAATGGATTTGGAAAATTGTTCATATTGCTTATGGGATCTCTTTGTATTCCCATGTCATTAAAAAAGTTATCTTTTCTATGTTTATCTTCGTCAAAGATGAATTCATTTGTTATGTTATCCATGTTAGTGTTATTGTAGTTTTCACTAAGACCAAATGGATTTGACAAATTGTTCATATTGCTTATGGGATCTTTTTCAAGGTCTATGTTGTTGAACAAATTACCATTGCTAAGGTTGTCTTTGCTAAATGTGAATTCATGTGTTGTGTTATCTATGTTAATGTTATTATAGTTTTGACTAAGACCAAATGGATTTTGCAAACTCTTC